CCAAATGAAGAACCGAGGCTCAGAGAAGTCAGATAACTATCCCAACTCTCAGGGATTTAACTCAGGGCTCTCTGACTCCAAAGCCCATGTTCTCAGCAGCATTGCACAGATTGAGGAGGCCCCACAGCACCAATGAGTGTTCACCCCAGTTATGTCCAAACTCCTGGGGATCAGTGCCAGAGGCAGCCTGGAAATGACTTTATACCCAGTCCCAGCAGAATATCTGAGGCCACACTGTGAATCCATGTTCTTCCTGATAACCCTTTCAATTTCAAATGGCCTCCATACTGGGATGCACTCTGCCTACTTCCCCATTCCAAGTTCTACTCATTCCCACCCGTGTCTGTTCTTCTCTTTCCAGGAGCCATTTTCTTATTAAGCACCTACTGAGTGCCAGACACTTTACTAACTGCTGCGATACAGTTGCAAATACATTCAGCCCTCACATTGGAGTGAAACATATTGCCTTGAGGAATTCCTTTAGTTCTCTTGGGGTTTTCTAGAATTTACTAGTCTATTTCTATATCAATTAAGATTGCATAGCAATCCCAAAACTTAGCAGATTAATACAACAGACAGGGGTTATCTGATGCTTTTTGTGGTTCAGGAATCCTTGTGTACCTTAGTTGTGTTCTCTCTATCAGAGTCACTCACGAGGCTGTGATTAAGGTGTTGTCTGGGACTGTGGTCTCATCTCAAGGCTCAACTGGGGAAGGATCCCTTTCCAAGATCACTTATATGGTTGTTGGTAGGATTCATTGTACCCTTCCCCAGCAGGATTTCTGCTGATATTCTGGGGGAAGGGTACACAAAATGGTGCTGGTGAAAAAGAGTCAAACTCTGTAAAATATTTGAAGAGATTTATTCTGAGCCAAATGTGAGAATCATGACCTATGACACAGCCCCAGGAGGTCCTGAGAACATGGGCCCAAAGTGGTTGGGTTTTATACATTTTAGAAAAACATGAGACATCAATCAATACAGGTAAGATATGCATTTGTTTGGTCTGGAAAAGTAGGACAACTCAAAGCTCGGTGGGGGTGTGCTTATAGGTCATACATAGATGAAAAGATTTTCTGATTGGCAGTTGATTATTATATTACCTAAAGACCTGGAATCAACAGAAAGCAGTAACCAGGTTAAGATAAGGAGCTGTGGAGATCAAGGTTCTTATTATGGAGAATAGATGGTATATGTCTCTTATTAGGCCTTAAAAGGTGTAAACTCTTAGTTAATTCTCTCCTGGATCAGGAAAAGATCTGAAAAGGGGAAATGATTCTGTATAGAATGTAGATTTTTCCCACGTGAAACAGCTTTCCAGGGCTATTAAAAATATGTCAAAGGAATATACTTTGGGGTAAAATGCTTTGATTTCTTTCAGTGCCTGCTATCTGTCATGTGATGGTATACTAGAGTCAGGTTATTTTATTGCTACAAAGAGTCTGTTTTGTCTATCTTAATATTCCTGTTTTAATGTTAATGCTGGCTAGTTGTGCCTGAATTCCAAAGGGAGGAGAATAGAATCTGGCATGTCTGAACCCCCTTCCCATTATGGCCTGAACCAGTTATTCAGGTTTACTTTGGAATACCCTTAGCTGAGAGGGGGATTCAATTCAGTCAGTTGGGGGGCTTAGAATTTTAGTTTTGGTTTACCAAGGTTTCAGCTGTGGTGGTAATTATTTCTTCCCTAAATTAGGTGATAGGTACATGGGTCATTATTGTCTTACTCTTTGAACTTTTTTGTGTATCTTTTTATATTTCATAATCAATGTTTTAAAATGAAAATATTTTAAAAATAAACCTTATGGTATTTGTGCATGACTAGAGAGACACATCAATGGAACAGAACAGAAAGTCTAGAAATAACTCAAGTACATATGGAAATTTAATATATGATAAAGATGACATTTCAAGTGCTGGAAAAGTGATTGGCTTTTGGATAAATGACACAGAGAAAATTAAATAAACATATCTCACATGATACACAATAAACTCTAAATGAATTAGAAATGTAAGCATAAAAGATGACATCAAACAAGCACTCGGAGGCAACATGAGTGAGTTCACCTATGGGGAAAAGCTTTCTCATTATGACTCAGAAAATCCAGATGAGATGCCAAGAAAGAAAAAACGAACAAAATTGGACATATAAACATTGCAAAGAAATCTATTGTCTTCGTTCATTTTCTGTTGTCTATAACAGAATACCTGAAACTGGGTAGTTTTTAAAGAAAAGAAATTTATTTCTTAGGTTATGGAGGCTGAGAAGTCGAAGGGTCAAGGGGCTGCATCTTATGAGGGCCTTCTTGCTGTTGGGGACTTTCTGCAGAGGCCCAGGTTGGGGCAGGACATCACATGGTGATGGGGCTGAGTGTGCTAGCTCAGGTTTTTCCTCTTCTTCTTATAAAGTCACCATTAAGCCATTAATCCATGAATGGATCAATCTATTTAAGAGGGAAGAGCCTTAATGACCCAATCATCTCTTAAAGGCCCCACTTCTCAGTATGGCCACATTAGGGATTAAGTTTTAATGTGAGTTTGGAGAGGACAAATATTCAAACCATAGCACCTATGTATACAAAAAAAATGCCATAGCTACTGCTTTTAAAAACAGTGGAAAGTAGCTGCAATGTATAACAGAGACACTGGGTTAATTTCACTAATAAAGAACTCTAAAAGATGAGGAAAGACAAGTGAGGAACTACCATGCTGATGATAGCATAGTTTTTGAAACTCTCTGAATCCCCCCATGAGAATATATAGAAACCTAGATACAGAATCAGAAAGCCATGGATGATATAAACAATAAAGCTAGGTCACAAGGCATTCTTAGGAACATCAAAATATAAGTAGATGGGAATAAACCATTAACAGCCTGAAGACTTGTAAGTTTGTGTGTCTGTGCAAGAAATAACATAAGAAAGCAACAGGACCGAGAAGGGGGAAACCCCAAGGTAGCCAAGTTTTCACCATAAAGTATAGAAAGATGATCTGAGCACAATAGCTGAAGCTGAGAGGGGCATTGCCAACTTTAGTAGCAGTAATTGCAGTTGTCGCTGCTAAAGTTTGAAGGGACCAGGGCTGTCTAGACCCTGTTGATCCTCAAAAGTACCTACCAGGGCTTTCTTCCAAGACAGGGCCCCATGCCCAGAAGAAACATCTAGGGGTGGAATAAACAGTTTGAAGAAAAGAGGCAGTTGAGAAACAGGAAAGAGAAGGTTCAGATTCGGCTGGAAGAAGGAAACAGCCAGGAAGTTTCTGAAGCCAAGCTGCCATGTTTTAAAAACACACCACAAAAATGCACAGCAGAGGGAGCTCTGTGGAGTCAGAAGAGTTGGTGAGCCATGATTCTTTCTAAATGGTCAATGAAACAACATCACATAAAAATGAACAACAGAAACGGATTAATAGAACATCCCATACAAGTTCTATATAAAAACCTGAGGAAAATAGACCAAAAAACCCACTAGAAAGATAGACAAACACATGAACAGATTTTCCCCCACCAATGGACAAATGAATATGTAAGAAAAAAATGCTCATCTTTATCCATCACAAAAAATGAAAGACAGAGATGTTGTTTTTCACATATCAGACTGGCAAAAATTCAAAAGCTTGACCACAAGCTGCATTGCTATGGCTCTGGGGACAAAGCTGTTCCCTTTCATCCTTGGGGGAAAGCAACATGGTACTATTCCATGAAGGGGAGCTTGACACCATATAACCACCGTATGCATGCATTTCCTGTAAGAGGTTGAAGAGTGTTTCCCCCCAACTTCAAGCTCACCTGGAACCTATGAATGTAACCTCATTTACTTATAGGGTCTTTGCAGAAGTAATCAAGTTAAGATGAGGTCATACTGAATTAGGGTGGATATTAAGCCCAGTATGACTGGTGTTGTTATAGGAATTAAAGAACAGACACAGACACACAGGGATATGTTCATGTGATGACAGGGGCAGAGGATGGAGTGATGCGTCTACAAGCCAAGGAATGCCAAGGATTGCTGGCAACACCAGAGACTGGAACAAGCAAGGAAGGATTCTTCCCTGTAAACTTCCTAGAGAGTACAACCTGGCTGACTCCTTGATTTTGGAATTCTAGCCTCCAGAGCTGTGAGAGAATAAGTTTCTGTTATTTTTAACCACAAAGTTTGTGGCATTCTGTTACAGCAGCCTCAGGTAACAAATATATTTACCCTTTGGCCCAACAATCCTCTTCTCAAAAATAGCAATCACAATTGTATTCACTAAGGCATTATATGTAATTGAAAACAGCCTAATTGGCCGGCGCGGTGGCTCAAGCCTGTAATCCCAGCACTTTGGGAGGCCGAGACGGGCGGATCACAAGGTCAAGAGATCGAGACCATCCTGGCTAACACGGTGAAACCCCGTCTCTACTAAAAAAATACAAAAAACTAGCCAGGCGTGTTGGCGGGCACCTGTAGTCCCAGCTACTCGGGAGGCTGAGGCAGGAGAATGGTGTAAACCCGAGAGGCGGAGCTTGCAGTGAGCTGAGATCCGGCCACTGCACTCCAGTCTGGGCAACAGAGCGAGACTCCATCTCAAAAAAAAAAAAAAAAAAAAAAACAGCCTAATTGCTGAGACATAGAAGATTGGTTGAACCATGGCACATTCTCTCAATAGAGTGTTATGCAGCTTTAAAAAGGAGTGAACAATGTCATCATCAGCTGTGAAAAATTTACTCCAAAGATGGTGCCCTGTGCACGTGCAGCTAATCACATCAAGAGCCTGAGCTGACCTTGCATTTTACTTTGCCCAGCAGAATGTAGAAGTGAATTCAGTTCTTTGAGAAAACTAGTCTCTAGAAGGACTGACAACTTCTACCTTCTCTCTCAGATATTATATGAAAGATGAGGAAAGATATGGAATATGGCCTGTGCATCTGTAGGGGTAGAGAGAAAGCGTTCCTTCCACCCTCTCTGAAGTTTCACTGAAATGACTGACAATAGACAGATTCATAGGAGAAAAATGGCTTACACATTTATTACGGTGCATATGGCCATGGAAGCCCTACAAATTGGAGACTCAAAGAAGGGCCAGATGGTTGAGGCTTATATACCCTCTACATAGGGGACAGGGAAGTGGCGGACTGTAGGACATTTTAAAGGGGTAGTAAATGATTTCTAAGGAAAATGAGTGAGCCCAAAGAATAGATAATAGTCTGGGACAAAGTTCCTCTGAGTTCTGGGGCAGGTGGCAGAAGGGTGAGGGGCAGAACCACACTGTGAACAAAGGTTGTCTTTTTCACAGATAAAGCCTCCCAGGTAATCTCTTGGAGCTGTCCTCAGAACAGATGAAAAGTCTGTCTGGCATGGTGATGATTCCAGTCTCTTCTCTTCTCCAGTAGTTAATCTTTCCTGGTTATTTGATGAGATTCCTAGGAAGGGTATCTAAATTACATTTCTGGCCAGGTACAGTGGCAAAACTTATTCAGACAGAGAAATTCCCTCCTGGTGCTTCAGGAAAGAAAGAGGATCAGATAGACGAGACAGGGGGATGAAGGGAGACTGGAGAGAGACCTTAGTTCTAAAGCTTATTTCTGAGGCATTTAATTTCCTTTAACTCAAAAACCCTCAGCATACCAAAGTGCCATATTTTTGAGGTACTGTTTTCTGAGCCTCAACTCATCCAAGAATGTCTTGGAGGTATCATGGTCAAGGACATTGAAAACATGGTCTCTTTGGCAAGTCTAACCCAGAGGGAAAACAGAAAAGCCCCTGACTCTCCTGGCCAGGGGTGAGGAATGTGGTGGGGGCCTTTAAGATTATGTAAGTCCTGGCTGGGCATGATGGCTCACGCCTGTAATCCTAGCACTTTGCGAGGCCAAGGTGGGCAGATCATGAGGTCAGGAGACTGAGACCAACCTGGCCAACATGGTGAAACCCTGTCTCTACTAAAAATACAAAAATTAGCCAGACATTGTGGCATGTGCCTATAATCCCAGCTACCCAGGAGGCTGAGGCAGGAGAATCACTTGAACCCAGGAGGCGGAGGGTGCAGTGAGCTGAGATCACACCACTGCAGTCCAGCCTGGGTGACAGAGCGAGACTCTGTCTCAAAATAAATAAATAAATAAATAAGTAAAAAATAAGTCCTTCATTCCCACTCTGTACCATCCACAATGACCTTGTGGTTGGAAGTTGGTTCTCGGGAGGCCATCCACAGGCAGGAATGGACTGATGGGAGGTGTCTGGTCAATTTGGGAACTGACCTGGGTCTTCAGCTGCCACCGTCTGCTGAGGTTCTGTCTCAAGGCTCTCTGAAGGGCCCTGTCACACCCAGCCCTCCAGCCTGTGAAGTCAAGGTGACTACATTTAGTTTTCCTTCCCAGAAGGCTCTGGGAACATTCCACATGATTTGAATTCTTTGAAGAATTCAATCACTGGTGACGTAATTTGGGTGGATAGTAAAACACTGTTCCATTTGCCCAAAGGAAGAGAAAAGTGCTCATGTTTTTACAAACATAATAACTTCCTTTTAGAGCTACTTCTTTTGCAATAGTCTGTGAGCAGAACTTTGTGGTAAATGACTTTTCTGATATCCACCAGCAAATCCTGCGGCCCACCCACACACATGCCAGCTTAGATGACTGTTGATATAACGTTTTCACTTCCCTATCACGGGGACAAACCAGGGTGAAGTTTTGAAATCTGAGATGATTGATAACATGCTCTGGTGAAACAGATGGTCTTCAATGGAATATGATACTGATATTAATTACGGGATTGGAAAATAAAGTTCTTGACAGAAAGTGAGTAGGCCAAAGTGGCATTATGCATACAATGATAGGATTTTGATGATCTTGCTGTTTGATTAAGTAGCAATCTCATTGCAGAATTTAAATGTGATTACTCCTATCCTAGAGCCCTGTTCTCCTAAAGGGAGGTCAGTAGCTGGTTGTGTAATAAGGATTCTGGTTGGCCTTTGTGGCAGGTTCCTCAAAAGAGTCTCTAAACCTTAGGATTACCTCGCCCGGTAATCTAATCTGCTTGCTTTCTGTCAGTGGAGCTGGAAGGAGCCGAGAGGCCAGTGAAGATTAGCCCGGCCTTGAAGACATGGGCTCTACCGAGCAGCAAGCAGGCCCCAGTGGTCTCTGCTCTGCCTGGAGGGGGAAAAGGATGGGGATGCATTTTGGGGCTGAAGCTTACACCCCAGTGCTTCCCTGAGAAGCCCCCATGCTATGGGCCAAGATAGGGTCCCTGCGTGGGCTCACGTGACGTCACAGAGCTGGTGTGTCCTTGTCCATGGTTGACCCAGTTTCCTCGAGGTTGGCTCCCTCTCAGACAGGCCCTCCGCCCAGTACTGCAGCAGCGACAGCCTCGCGTCTTCTCAGGCTAGTCCAGCAGGAAGGAGGAAGAGGCTCTTTCCGGGGAGTCCCAGCCCCGGCGGTGTCATGTGCCCACGTGGACCAATCACTGCGGCGAGGGTACTGAGATGCTCTGATTGGCTTAGACCTAGGTCATGTAATCGACCCTGCCAGGAGTCGATTACTGGGCTTAGAGGCAGGGCGGGGTGTGTCCCAACTTAAGTGTGGATGGAGTTACCAAGAGAATGCGTTTTAGGAGTCAAGATCAGCGGATGACGACCAACATTTGTAGAGTGGTCACTGCCTGCAATACGGATAATGATGTCCAACCTCTGGGTTGTTGAGCGAGTTCAATGAATTAATGCATGTAAAGTACTTAGAACAGTGCCTGGTGCACAGCAAGCTCTCAGCAAATGTCCACTGTTTGCCAAGCAGCAGTCTCAGCATCTCTTGCACCGTATTACTTCATCCTTTTACGGCAGCCCCATCAAGTGGGTGCTATTTTCTCCACTTTACAAATGAGGAAACCAAGCCTCAGAGGGGTTGTGTAACTTACCTGGGGTCACACAACTAGTGAGGGATGGAGTCAAGATTTCAACCAGGACAGTTTGACCTCAGAGTATGGGTGCTTAACCCTTCCACATTGCTACTGCAAGAGGGAAGCCCATTCTGTAGAGACGCCCATTCTATATATTAGAGCCAATGGCAGTAGGCTGGATGGAAGTGTATTTAAAGCACCCCATAATAAAATAGTATAAATAGGATTCTCCCAGTGGTCAATTTTCACTCTAGTTTTAATTTGGAAACCCTTTAAAACTACATTAGTGCTTTTCAGATACAATTCTGAAACATGAGGACTACCAATACCTTCCTGTCATCCCAGCGGCCTGAAAGAGTTAATGTAGCTTCCAAGACTTTGTAACTTACAACCAGGGAGGAACTTACATGCTGGGAAAGTGTAATTCAATGAATAATGGGAATCTGGATTAATTCCCAAATAAAGTTGTTATCATAAGGATTATGAAGAGGGGAAAAAGACATTTAGCAGAATCTCCAGGGGCAGATATTAGACATGAAAATCAAAGTTTGCAGTGCTTTAAATGTTATTTATCATGTCTTTTTCTTTTCTGCGTCCAGCGTCTGGCGCCCCAGGCCTGTGATCATATTGTTTTAAATGGACAGGATCACAAGTGGCTGCTCTCACGTGGAAGTAAGGGCAGGGAAAGACAAATGAGGCACAGATGACACACGAATGTGTTCTGTGTTTGTGAACACAGAACACAGGATGTAGGTGGTATGCGCAGTTCAAGTTCAGCACCGAAAACCCTTTTCTGGGAGCTTAACAACAGGATTTTTTCATCAAGTCAATCAGAGGAGACTGGGAAGTTAAACACAGTAGTCCTGCCTCCCCTTTACTTATATCCCAGGATCAGTGGGGCTTAACTGTGTGTGAACTGGGGTGATGAGATGTCAGCTGTGTTCATCCCCTGCAGGGGGTGCTGGTCAACTCCAGGAGGAACCTTCAGCCAAGGGCCACGGGGAGTTGCTTCCTATCTAAACAGAAGCCAAAACAACTGCCATCATGAGCTCAGTCGGGGTCAGCGTGTGCCATGCTGTCATTGCGTGCGGTTTCAGGGAGGTCCGTAATGACACTAGTAATTCCTTCCAGCAGGTTGCAAATCCTGAGATTCCTTCAAAACTAGTCCATTGGAGGTCAGGCATGGTGACTCATACCTGTAATCCCAACACTTTGGGAGGCCGAGGTGGGTGGATCACATGAGGCCAGGAGCTTGAGACCAGCCTCGCCAACAAGGCGAAACCCGGTTTCTACTAAAAGTACACAAATTAGTGGGGTGTGGTGGTGCACGTCTGTAATCCCAGGGAACCCAGGGAACTGAGTTCAACCAGCAACCTAACAGAGCAGGGACGGGCCTTCCCCAGAGCTCCGGGAAGGGATGCAACTTGCCGATACTTCGATTTTAGTCCAATGAGATCTGTACTGAACTAATGACCTGCAGAACATATCATCAACTTGCGCTGTTTTAAACCACAATGTTTATGGCAATTAGTTACAGCAACCAAAGATTCACACAGGGGTATAGGGGAAAGCTGTGCCTGCCTCAAAGTGGCCCCTTAGCCTGAGCCCTTTGGCAAGGGGGCTGTGGGCAGAGCGTGATGGAGCAGTTTTCGGGTGTGCCCAGGTTCCCAGGTATGATGCCCAGTGGGCGACAGGGCGTTTGCCTACCTTGGTATGGAGCACAGCCTGGCCACAGCAAGGAAAGACACCCTGGGGTCCTCAGGAGTCTGCCCCGAATGTTCTCCCAGAGGGCATCTGCAGCCGTGGTGGAAGGGGGTACAGCCCTCCTTGGCTCTGTGACCAGCAGGTGGTAACAAAGAGAGTTCAAGGAGAGATGCCCAGAGATGCATCTAACTGGGGGCCTTGGTGGGGCAGCTTGGCTGCTGCTTTACATGGGAGGAGTTAGAAGCTTGTAGAACTTGAGTATCTACAGCAAGCTGATCATGTTAGGGAAATTCAAGATAAACAAGCACATTTTCAACCTCTGTGAGCCTCGGTACCCTCATCTGTACAATGGGAAAATAATCGTTCCCAAAGCTTACTATGAGAACGAATTAAACACCAAGAGCCCAAGTGCCTGCTTATACCCAGTGCATGCAGCCACCTCGTTCCGGTTCCTTCCTCCATCTCCTCGTCTTGTTCTCTGACTGTGCTTTATTCTGGGATGACACCCCGGCTTTACGTGTTTGCTTCAGGCCTTGGCAGAGCTTATCGCGGCGCTCCATGAGGCACCTTTGGTTGTCCAACGTGGAGCTACGCCAGTATCTGCAGTCACTTTGGCTGAGACGCCTCCACTGCCCCCGGGTGCAGGGTGGGTCCTCATTTGGAGGGATGCGGAGTTTCCCAGGGGGTGGGGCAACGCTTTCCTTGCTCCAGGTGTTTATGGTTGAAGTTGACTGTGATCGTAGACTAGGGGTGGCAGGCTGCTGGGAAGGTTCCTGTTCTGGGGATTGGTCAGACCCACTACATTATGCCAAAAAAAAAAAAAAGTCCTGGCAAGTTGCTGAAGGGGGATGTAGAAGTGAGGAGAGAGAAATTTTGAGCAAAATGGGCATATGGAGGGACTGTGTGGGTGGGCGCTGTGTAGGGCAATGGTCCCCCAGGGGTGCCCCAGAGAGACCATGTGGGTGGCGCAGCAGCTGTAATAAGACACCTGAGCCTTGGGCTCAGGCCAGCAACTTAATGTTCAGTCTTATTTCCAGAAAGTGGGACAAGCCTACTGGGGCAAGCCTGAGATGGGTCTGAGCCCTTGAGTGGGAAGGGTGTGGTAGGGTGGGATGTAGGCACGATGGAGCAGACGTGGGTGGCTGGGGAGGAGAGGCCAGCAGGTTTCAGCAAGCCTGGGACCATGACATCGTGTTCTTGGGAAATGCAAAAGGCAGACCACAAGGTGGTGCTCACCACAAAAGAATTCCAGGACCAGTCAAAACCCAGAGAGTGCCAGCTTTTTATTCACCCCGGATTTACGAAAACAGCAATATGGACAAAAGACATTTGAGGCTCTCCTGGGCATGCTTTCCCTTTTCTTCTTTTATGGTGTTTTCCTAGTTTGTTTCAGGCAAGCTCGCCCTTCATTATTGGGAAGTCTTGTTCAGAACAGTTGGTGTCTTCACAGTGACTGCAAGCACTAATGAATACACACACACACGCGTGCACACACACACACATGCCCTGCAATAGGTGGCTTTCTCGATCGATACCCCCACCCCAGGGTACTGAGAGGGGTAAAGCCAGAGTCCGGCAGAGCGTCCTTTAGGAGGTGACCTGTGACTTTGTCATTGTCCTGAAATTCTCAGGATAGGGAGGATTTCAGTTTGATGCAAAAAATATTCTATTTCTATAACACATATTTTTGCTTTTTTTGTACCGCACGATCCTCCGTCGTCTCCCACTTTCCCCACACACTATTACATGCGTCATTAACTCTCAAGGTCCTGCCAAGACAAGCAGCTCCCCTTCAGCAGTTGAGAGCGAGGTGGGACTCACCCTGCCCAGCGCATTGCCATGAGGACATGAAGTGAAGCCCGGCGGGGCAGAGGTGCCCTGGGAAGGAGCCCAGGCCTTGTGAACTTTGCATACAAGAGTGTTTTGTATACATGTAGAAACTCACATAAACAGCAAATTATAGTTTTTTCCCTCTTCTGTCTCTTGGTGTATTGTATATGTGTGAATGTGTGTAAATAAAGTATTAATTTCAGTGCAGTCTGAGATATCCTCACTGAATCCTGCCCACCTCTCTCGGCCAGGCTGATTCAAGGGGGCCCTGCTGGCATCCTTTCTGCTCCACCAGCCATCACGAGGCCACCTTCCATGAGCTCCATTTCCACGACTGGCCCATCTGGGTATCACAGTTCCAACCAGCATGCGTGTTTGGTCCCTGGGGCTTCTGGATAACTTGGAGCTTTGTGAGAACTCCAGAAGGATTTCTTCTGAAGAACCAAACCCATGTTTCATAGGTGACACACAGTTTGCTCCTTTCAACATGCACACGAAACACACATTCATGAAACAGCAAACGAGAGCAGCCTCGGCATGATCTGAGAGTCTGCCAATCCCTTCCTCACCAGAGGAGGGCTCAAAACCATGTTTTCACATCCTTGGATTCTTTGGCGCAGTCCTCAGGGACAGCTTGGGGTTGAGGCCAGAACACAGCAGGCAGGGCCCAGAGCTTCTCCCCTGACCCCACCTGGCATGTGGCTCAGAGCCGGCGGGGCTGGTCAAGGGTTGCTTTTCCGGTATTGTTTGCTCATTTTCTTTTGCTGTTCTTGTTCCTGCTCTCACCTGCACTGTCTGCTCTGTCCCTGCTCCTCAAGGGTTTCAAGATCAAGATGCTTATTGTTGAGAACTGTCTTCCTTTCAAAAATGGCTTTTACAGTTCTGGCCTCCAAATGCAGGATTTTACCTACACTGCTACATCATTCAACATTTAAAAAACAAAACAAAAATAGTTCA